CAAAAATAGGAAATAGAAAACATTCAGTGGTCCTTGTACTGCAAGCATGGTGACACCTGACTTCATCTAAACAACCTGAACCGGGTAGCATACATTTGTCAGATACCTTATATATATGACATCCCTCAGACAATAAAACACTTTGATTGGGTGTCCTATATCATCCGGTGAATTGATCTTTCTCTGAAATGTTTGATCCCCTCGTTTTCTGACCTTTCAAACAACCTACACAATCTTTTAGGTTGCTAGTTAATTTCATGATAGGACTGTTTTCTCTTAAGTATAGAATCCTAAGCTTCGGATTAACAAAGGTATGTAGGTCCCATATTCATTCAACCATCAAATTATGTTGACATGAGCATTGACTAATGCATACCCAAGACCAGAACATGTTTTTTTTCTGATAATGCCAAGAGAATTTTCCTGCTTTACGTTTCTCTTTACATTAGAAAACATAAACATATAAATCAAGAAACAGGAAAGAAGAGGCGTGTGGTATTATCAAAACCATGCATTGACAATATCATTTCCCTAACTCTATAGTTTGGATCTCACCAACCCCAACTGGACGTGCATGGAAAGTGGGTTCCAACTTGACGGTGTAATATGCAGATCTTTATATTCCCACGTACCCAAGTGCTGATTCCACCTCTTTCCAAATCCCTTCCTAGAATTTCAAGCCAAATTAACACAGTATTAACTATTAAGAGAAGCCTTGAATTAATCAGTAATTCTGAAAAGAAATTCAGTTAAACCAGCAAATTTAGTAGAATGGTCTGGGCTACAAATTAAGTGAGCTTGAGCTTAATTAATTAGAAGCCAGAATCATCGTCTCCTCACCCTTTTTCTAACGTGAACCACCAACCCTAGTAGAGCTAGCCTTCCCCCATGCAGGCTGATAGCAACCGGAGCTTTCGCCTGTCTAAGATTCTAACCCATCAAAATCCCTAAAATGTAAATTTTTGGATGGCAACATGACAAGCACGACAAGATGTCTAAGCTGAAGCTAGACTGAAGAGTTTCCAAAAGTAAAGAAGGAAAATGTCCTAAAAGGAGATGAAGATGGAGAAGGAAATGGATGTCTTTAGTTGAGATTTTAGAACTCAAACCCAAGTCAGCTATTAACAGAAAAGGAAAAGGAAAAGGAAAAGAAAAGAAGCTCTCTCTCTCTCTCACTTGCGCAGAAAGAGTTGCAAGTTGCAAAGCGGAAGGGCCAATGGATTAATTTGGACTTGGGATGAAGAACTTTAGTGATAAGAGCACAAAATTCTCCACCATGGCCCATTGCCTCCTGAAAGGCGACAAATTCAAACGTAACTGCAACTTCAGAAAGAGATATTTTGAGAGAGCAGATAGGTTGTCTGTGATTGGCACATAAAGCGCCGTGCTTTTGACAGTTCATATTATATCCACCTTCTTCATTGATTCCCACCACTTGTTGGGCAATCTGTTGGATGGTCCTACCAGTAGAGTGGTGGGCTATTCATCTTTTGACAAACTGCACACTAATGGTGGACTAGTCCCAGAAATCGTTTTGGACCTCTGTATTATAATTTTAATTAATTAGACCCAGGATTGAGGATGGTTCAGTAAACTTCTAGCTAATTAACCAGCCTGATATTTTCCAGTCTAGAACCATCAGTTGGGTTCTTGTTTCTTATTTAAACCATCCCCTATTTGATGAACCAATTTGCAGACTAGGTGTGATTATATAGAGACTAATTGATTACCGAGTTTGTTTTATCAACAAAGGAAGGTTTGTTGTTCTAGCTTTGGATTGGACCCTCTACTCTTCTTATGGGCCAAGTTATGCTCAGAAACAACACTCCTTGCCATTCCAGAATCTCTGTGAGTTTTGTCAGGACAGCCTTGGAAGGAGATGAAGACAAGAGTTATTCCCAGTGGATGAGATCCCATAACCTGGATGGAAATGCCCCCTCTAACGAGGGTTACTTTGAAGCTGACCAAGAAGTTTGTGTACCAAAGATTCTATGATGACTGACCAGCGTTAACTTTCATGAATCACATGCAGATTGATGGAAGAATATATAGACGCAGACTTTTCCTTTTATTGTATGTAACCCATTGGACCATGTGGGGATCGATGCACATGTCAAAAACCTGATATTGGCCCAAGGCTTAACAAGTCAAAAACTTGATACAAAATGGAGTGATTTTCACTTGTTATGACAAAATTAAATAGGAAATCAGCACATTCTATTAAAAGTTAAAACCCTAAACCCTAAGATGATCTCCATGATGCTCCATTATGGGTGATTGGACATGGACCCTAAAATCTAATGAAAATATAACACAATGGGATTGTTTCATTTTTGTGGGATTCAAGCAGGCTATAAATGATTTACTGCTTCCAATATGAACTATGGTTTTATAATCTTATCTTGTCATCAAATCCCATTACAACCCATACCATTCCAAGAAAAAAAAATTAATTCAAATACTAAAACTGAAGTCTAAATCAGCAATAGAGTTAATATTCCTTATTTTATTGATTAAAACAGCCTTTCAAATCTCTAAAAATATTCTGATTCAAGCAAGCATAGAAGCCAATGTGGACAGCTTGTTCTTTGTTGTTCAAGCCTCTTAATCAAGCCACTTCCTATTAGTCCAAAGGAACCTTCAGGGCTGGGACAAATCTAATACATTGTAATCGGGCATCTCAATGCAGTTAACAAAAACATTGGTGGGACAACCAACAAACACATCCCAAAAGTTATGTTCCCATTTTAATACGCCAAACAATCTGAATCAGGAAAAACTTGTATCGATCACTTGATACAAAGAACACGGGCACCTATTGATCATACCAACCTTGCGTGCAAGTCTCAATTACCAAAACCAATTGATTGGGTTAAGAGTTCTATGTGGAGTAAAAACAAACACCTGTTGTAGGTCAGTCTTCCTAGTCACTAGTTCACATTGAAATTAGGTATTCTTGAATCATTATAGATAGGTTGGCTAGTTCCATTGTCTAAGCATATTTTATTTGAAATGGCAGCCAAAAGCGTAATATGACACGTCCAACAGGCCCCACCTAAGATATCTCTTTGGCAGTAAAAACAGAAAGAAAGATGGTACTATGTAACCGGATGATCACAACCGTCAAAAGTAGGTCAAACTGGTTGGCCATTCCCCATCCTCCAATATGATATGTTTTGGGTAGGGCTTGGTCATATCACAGGCCGGACTTATTTTCTCCAAGAGACCCAATTAAACCTCTCCAGCTTCCCCTATTAAGTTTCTAGCTTTTTTTGGGTATTATTTTTTTAACCCTAAAATTTATCAAACGGGATTTCCTACTCACTTTTCCTATCTATACTCTATTCACCGTGAATTGCAGCTTGCCGCTGTGACCACACATCTCTATTATGAATTGAGAGATGTGTGGCTGCAATTCACGATAGATAGAGACTGGATAGGAAAAGTGAGTAAAAAATCTGGACTCCATTGGAGAGGGGGGGGGGGCATTCACCATAGTAAATTTTATAAATTAAATAGTAGTCCTTTTTGTATCAATCCTGTAGTTCCAGTTGAATAAATGCATAATGTTATTACAACAAATGAGCAAACAAAATCCATTGTTTAGATAAAAGGGTCCATTATTCCCACTTAACTCCTTATCATATGCATCAGATTGGCAGGCACTAAAATTTTTGCCACTCTTATAGTCATATATATAGTCATAAGAGTTTGGAAAAATGATATCTATATTACCTATAAAGGAGCGAATGCCCCTTTTTTCTGAAATTTTCATTGGATATTTTCTATTTCTTATCTAAGCAGCATACAACAGGCATAAAGAGGGTTTATATATCCTTTATTCTCAGTAAAAAAACTGACAACTTATAAGAGTTAAAAAACTATCCACTTATAACTGTTCAAAAACTGTCTATAAATTGTAAATAGTTTTGTCTTAGAGATAGCTATAATAAATGAGCAAACAAAATCCATTGTTTAGATAAAAGGGTCCATTAATTATTTCGATTTAACTCCTTATCATACATCATTCTCTCAAGCCCAAATAAAGGAGGAGGGTTGCATCAGACTGGCAATGGGCACTAAAATTTTTGTCAAACTCTTATATCGGATATAGCCATAACTTAAAATTGTTTAGCAAAATGATATTACAATAAATGAGCAAACAAAATCCATTGTTTAGATAAAAGGGTGTGTTATTCCAACTTAACTACTTTACGTCATTCGTCTCAAGTCGGGATAAAGGAGGAGGGCTGCATCAGATTGACAATGGGCACTAAAATTTTTGCGAATCTCTTCTCTTATAGTCACATATAGCCATAAGAGTTTGGCAAAATGATATTACAATAAATGAGAAAACAAACTCCATTATTTAGATAAAGGGTCATTAATAATCCAATTTAACCCCTTATCTTCATTTTTCAAGCCCGGATAAAGGAGAGTTATATCAGATTAGCAGTGCGCACTAAAACTTTTGCCAAACTCTTATAGTTATAGCCATAAGAGTTTGGCAAAATGCTATTACAACAAAAGAGCAAACAAAATCTATTATTTAGATAAAATGGTCCATTATTCCCACTTAATTCGTTTTAGTATACCATCTGTCTAAAAGCCTGGATAAAGGAGAAGGGTTGCATCAGATCAGCAGCAGGCACTAAAATTTTTGCCAAGCCAGTTGGGACAAGGCCATATAGTCATAGCCTGATTTGTTTTTTCATGTTTAACAGAACATAATGGCAAAACAAGATTCATGTAGCCCACTCCATATAGTTGGGACAAGACTTAGATGACGATAATGATGATATTTTTCCAACTTAGTTTAAATCTCAGTTGGAAATTGTACTGCATAGATTGTAGGATCTCGACCAGATTGCCATTAGCACCCATGTCAGAACCCTCACTAATTTCTCGCTTTTAAACTTCCACTAGCATAAAATTATCAAAAAAAAAAAGAAGAAAAAGAAAAGAAAGAAAGCAAATCTCAAACAAGAAAACTGCAGATATCAACTAGGGAAGACCAGAAAACTTGGATTTTTTCAATTGTATATATGTTCACTGGTGTACTGGCGATGGTCTTTATTCACCAAAACAAACACTCACTGCTAGGTACCAGCCATTTCGAACATTTTTCACATATGGTTGCCAAAGAGAAACACAAATTTAACACTTGCTTTGTTTCATTATTCTGTACCCTTTCTCTGTCTCTCCCCTCTATTAAAAAAAAAAAAAAAAACTAGCCCTTTATTTATTCTGTTCTCTCTCTCTCCCTCTCTCTCACTACCAGCAAAATAATAAATAAATTTAAAATATTAAGATACCCATCGTAAGACACACCCAACACCCAATTCCCAATCAATATGTTTATGTATCAAAATGAAGTTTGTCCTCCGCGTTTCAGACGACGGACCGGAATCTGACCCACTTACCTATTTTCCATCACCTCATCTGACCCATTTCTAAACATCAGTGACTCAGTGACACACACCCACATGAACTCTGATAAAAGTTATTCTCACATTGTCGTCTCACTCAACCATGGCCATCGAAGAAGGGTTGGTGGTGTTAGTGACAATCCCGTACGCACTTGCTTCATCTTCATCTTCTTCATCATCATCATCATCACAATCTTCGTCTTGGTTCTGATCCATATTCTCGCTGCCAATATCATCCATGACCGAATCCGGCCGCGGTGGTTCTTGCCGGAGGGGCATTACTTGTTCAGGCCGGCTCATCATCTGCCTCATTAGGTCTTCTGGCTTCAACTCATAACTAGGATTAATGAATGAATTATCAACCTTCTTTGTCTTCTCTCTGTATAGTGCGTCGAGCTGGTGGAAGTACGGGCATGTCTTCGAGTCCTCCGGCCTCTTCTTGTTGCTCTCCTTTACCTTCTTGAAGTACTTATTAATGTTCTCCCATTTCTCTTTGCACCTCTTCGCGCTTCGATTGTAACCAAGCTTTTTCATGGCTGACGAGATCTCCTCCCATAGAGGCCCTTTAGGCCCATTCTCTTGATACTTGAGGTCTAGAGTAGTTCGGAGATTGATCAGAGCTTGAACTTCGGCTTTCGGCCATCTGGAAGAGCTCACCGGACTAAAAGTCACGACGGCATTAGCATTAACGTTATCTGTTGATTCCGCTCGTGGAGGGTCCACTGCTTTCTCCGGCGGTGCTTGTTTCTCCGGCAACTGCACCTCCATCAATTGCACCGCGCTCGACTGTTCTGAGATCTTCTGCAAGAATGCAATCACTGCTGCATCTTTTGCAGCCGCGATCGATCGTTCTTGGACTAGCATTTCAAGCTCTCGGTTCATTCTTGCCATCTCTTGCACCTTCCACGCTTCTTCCCTCTCCATTCTCTCTCGCTCCCGCTTCTCTATTGCCTCCAGGAATCTCTTCTGTAACGTCTCCTGCTTCTCGATCATTTCCTTCATGAGCCTCTCGAAGAAAGTCATTAATTTCATCTTTTTCTTGCGCGTCCCTTCGGATTCTTCGTCGGAGTCTGTCGAAGAAGAGGTGGTGGCGGAGGTGGAGACGAATTCCGTATTAGCACTGAGATTCTGCACAGAAGCTGGGACATTGTGTTGAACGACGACGCCTGGTGGGTTTGCCGTCGCCATTGTTGTCGCTGTCATGGTCGCTGTCGTCGGGGGCACCGTTGCAGTAGGAGTCTGCATTACTTTGTGCGGCGAGAGCGGTGGAAGTGGGTGGTTGTCGAGAGCTTCTAATTGCTCAAAGAATCGGTAGGTCTTGCCATCATGCTTAGAAGCTCTTCCGCCTTTGGTTCTTTTGTGGTACTTGTACACGTTCTCGAACTTCTCCTTGCATTTCTTGGCGCTTCGATGATACCCAAGCTCTGCTAGTTTCCTGATAACAACAGTTCCGAAACACTCCATTTCTGTCTCTCTATTTGTTAAATTATATCTCGAAATTACCAAATAAATTTATTCTAAAACCAAGATTTCCAATAAAATAACATAATTATATTAAAGCGAGAAAAAGAAAAAGCTCAGAAAAATGAAGGGAGGAGGAATAAAACATCAAACGACCATGAACTGTGTCATGAGACCTTATGATCAGAAGATTCAGACATGGGTGGCTTTCCAGAGTTATATTAGAAGCAAGGAAGGCTGATGAGAAGATGTTTGAGTATAATTTTGCTTCAGTTTCTGACTTTACTAAGAAATCAGCTTGAGATAGTTTACTTTAATAAACAAAATATGCAGTTAGACTTGGAAGAAAGAAGAAATCAAATCCATGCAAAAAAGAAGTGGATTTTTGGTTTTCTTGTTCTGAATTTTACTGAAGAAAATGAAAACTAGGATGAAGAAGAAAGAATTTGAACCCTTCTTTCAATACCCAATTCCTCTCTAGATCTTATGATAGAGGAGGAGAGAGAAGTGCAAGGAAAACTGAAAGCCAACATAACAGAAACCTCAATTCTGAGCTTTCTTTCTCCTGTTTTATGTATTTTTAGCTGAATTCCCCATCTATGAACTGAAAGCAACAACCACTTGGGATTTACAAAAACAAACATTTAAACGAAAACCCAGAAAAAAATTCCCAGTGAACAAATCAAAAAGCTGCCTGAGTGAGTGAACAATTACCTAGAAACCTCTTCCCACAGTGGACCTTTGAGAGTGGAATCACGGAAAGCAACGCCCATTTCAGACCGTATCTTCAACAACGCCAACGTTTCTTGACGGGGCCACCGGCTTCCGGCTGAATTCCGCTCACCCTCTTCAGCTTTCCCCTTGTCTTCCTCCCCAAACCCGCCTGCAATTGCCCCAGCAACACCCACCTCATCCTCATGACTCCCGTCGGTGGCGCCACCGCCTGAATTCCCCAGCAAACCCGAAACCCCCAACATGAGCTCGCCGGAATTACAGCTCAAAAATCTAGCAAAAGATGGTGAATTCACAGGTTTTTGTGAAGATGGGTAGGGTGAATTTGTCGGTTTATTTAAGTGGGCTCAGTCTCCCAATCTCTTAACCCTTTTTCTTTTTCTTCTCCAGTAACAGAATCTTCAATTCTTAACTTTATTTATTTATTTATTTATTTCTTCTAACAACACCAAACATGATTTGGGTTCTAGTAATAAAAATGGGAAAAGAGTAGTAAGAATGGAAAAATAAAATAAGAGAAATTCGTCGTCAGCAGCTACAGCTGCAGATAGCGACGATGGTGATAATAAGTTGGCTCTTGTCCGTCCAGCTAAATATAGTTAAAAGCCGGCCCATGTAGGTCAGCTTTGCTTTTTGAGCAGTTTAATTTGGGCTTCGGTGGCATCGGCTATCCCTGCACAATTACCATAATACCCTTCCTTCTTAATCAATTTGCCCCTAATAATTGAGGGATAATTCCGTTAATTAATAGATTGGGGAGTGTCTGAACTTTGACGTTTGAGTGATTCTCTTGTGGGTCTGTTCGGCTACGTTTACCCAAAATACCCCTGTCTCTAAACCCAACAAAGCTGCCCCCAAAGTTTGGACCCAGTTTGACTGTTTGAGTAAAAATGTGGCCCTTATTCATACACGAAGCCCAAATGGGCCGACATGGATTTGCAACCATTCGGTCCATAGGCCCTTTTTTTCCCCGATTCATAGAAAAATATCTCGATTGATTTATTAGGAGTTTGACATATTTCATCCACATCTGTCCAAATGAATTCGATGATTAAGATCTTAGAGATAACTTTGTTCATGCATCTGCACAGTTGATGAGAATTATGAACATATACCTACACAGGGGACCGGAGAGGACCAGGGACCGGTTTTGGTTAACATACTAGCTACCATATTGAATGGTACAAACCCTTACTCCTAACCTTGCAATTAATGTCATTTGAAGGTGACCCACTTGGTGACATTACCTCTATGTTACCGATACGATATGGATGCGGAGTCTATCGCATTTGATTTTCACCAATCCGGCTTCAGTTAGAGCAAAATATTTCGATATTTATATATTTAATTTCATAGGAAGATATTTCTATTATTGTAAGATTGCCAAAGGCTGTTAGAATGATATGAACACAAGTTTGGCCTGATAGAAGCCGATATCCCCCTCTATACTATTTCATATACTATGGAATCTGAGTTCAAACTCACCTTTTCGTAACTGATAGTTTACGAATTATTAGACATTTGTCTTCTATTTACCGTCGCTTCGCAACCAACCGTACATTTGTAGCGAAGTTCTTGTCAACACGGCACCTCAAAGTCAAGAATATACCAATAAGATGGTAGGGTTGTATTTTTCTTATTTTAAAAATTAAAAAAAAAATAATATTTTTCTTTGCCCATGAAATACCCATTCATTCATCCAAATCATACACCCTCATCTAGTGCTCAGTGATAAGGAATGCATTTAGTGCTCACCAAAACAGTACTGCAAGTGGGTTTTTGTTATTGTTACAAGGGTATTCTTGTCAAATCAAGGAACATGTATTACTGGTTCATTAAGTAATATGCCTTTATTTTTTAGGGTATTCTTGTCAAATCAAGGGTATTCTTGTTATTTCTTAATATGCCATTAAGAAGGAGTAGTATGCCTTTAAATCATAAACGTTAATCCTAAGTGGTACTTTTTTTTTTTCTATTTTTATTTTTTAGGGCAGAGCTACAGCTTATTTATTTGTTTAATTTATTCTCCTTCAAATTCTAACAATATTTTAATTGATTAATTAATTAATTATTTAGATCAGTTATTTTTGTGTCAAAAGCTTCGGTGGCAGCTTTTTCAAGTTGATGAAGGGGAGAAGCCACCGAAATTCTCTTCATTCTTTCCCTATTTAATGGGTAATTAGTATCTAGCCATCTATGATCTATCTTTCACGGAAAGCCTATCTGTCTCTCCAAATTAAATAAGTTATTTTGGATTAAAATATAAAATAGGAGTAATTCATGATCACCTCCCTAGTGACGTGGCCTTGTCATGGCCGTCCGATGGATGCTCTCCCAACAGGCCCATTTGATGAGTCATCAGCCACATGTGGGCACGGTGTACTGTAACATGGTGAGCACGTGAACCTTCCCTTCTATGAGGGAAGAACCTAATTCACACTTAATCATGTGTGATCAATGTCGACTAATTCTAGACCTAGCTGTCATTAATAAGAATCTCTCTCTCTCTCTGCATGATGATCAAGCAATCCAGTTGAGCACTGGTGACCGTAGGGTTGATGGGGAATGCCAATTGAGTGATCTAGATTGAATGGGTGAGCGGGCCCAGAGGGGGGGGGGGAACTTGGAGAAAGGCAAGTTGGGTTGAGGGTTGGTCCAAAGAGTGGGGTAAGGGGGAGCTCAATGAGTTGTCAATTAGAGATGGGCCCGACATGGGCCAGACTAGACCAATCAGAGCCCATTTTGGTCTAGGCAGCGTCACGGAGTGAAGAGGCTTCCATGTGCTACAAATGACAACCTACAACGGTTGGTAGGAAAGAATTACTTGTAGAAAACGCGTCTCTCTCACGTCCACTTCTGATGTGGCAGTAAAAGGATAAGCGTTAGGACGCGTTTGATGGACACAGTTAATATACTACTACGACTGTGATTTCGTTTTTTATTTGTTTCTCTGCTTTCTTCTGTAATTTAGTCCCCGACAAGAAAGAACCATGGATGCGTTTGGCCTTCTTTCCCTCCCTTGATAGCACACGTCCTTCTCATGAACGAACATCTCCTATGGGAACTGGGAACTGGGCTAGCTGCAGACTGACAGATGTCACACGCTTTCGTGTTCTGCAGAGAAACAAATGAATATGAAAAAGCAAATAAAGCCCAAACAGGTCTTATGTTTAGAAAAGCAGAATTACTAGGAATTGTGTTTAGTAGGGGATTGAGACAAAAAGGCATGATGAGTGAGGGATGTGATCATGTGAAGGGCTTTCCTTATTGATAAAGTTGTTTTTAGTATGTTAATAATAAGCTTGCTTTGTTTGGAAACACAATTGAGTAGAGATTCTTGTGGGAGGTTCAATTCCTTTGTTTAAAAAGCAAAATGAAAGTAGTCACCATATATATATATAGGTGTCACTTGTTAGATCCTTTTGGAGATTGATGGCGTGAGGAGAAAGAAGAGATTGAAGCTTAGAGCTAGCTAGCCATAGTTAAAGAGCTTTCTTTATGTATTTGGGTTTTGTTGATTTCATATAATTAAGCTTTTTATTTGGGTTCAGAAGCTTGTAATATTCAACTTTTGACTTTGGAAGCTTTAGGTCTCTTTCAATGCATCGGACAAACCATGTTAGCTTGTCTCTTGTGATTCTTTTAACTTTCATTTTGAAGTTTTCTGTTTCCCTCCAAAGCATCTTTGTTGGCACTCTCATCCTCTCAGGCAATCTTCTGCAACCTGAACCTGAACCCCAACTGGGTTTCTGGCCGTAAACCAGGTCCGATCGACGTCTAGTCTGATATGCTTTTGATCCAGTCAAAACCCCATTTGGTGATGCTTCAAATGCTTGAAAATCAATACCACTGGTTGCCCAAATGTTCCTTGTTAGGGGCTTTTTTATCATTTTCACTGTGCAATTGAAGCATTTGGACAATGAAACACCTGTTCTAGATGTTTGACATCTCCTTCAAGTTTCAGAACATTGTTCCCTTAAATTAACTGGCAGCTTCTGAATCAAACCTGAAGAAAGGACAAGAGCCATTGGACCTTGTGTATGTATTGATTGATCTCTATCATGTACAAGGTCCAGTTGGAGAAAAAGCTATACAAATGGAAGAATGATCTCTAAGTGATATTTCAATGAGTTGAATTGAGCTATCGTGCAATTCATCAATCTTAACTTAATTTGAATTAGTTACTGTTACTGTTATTTATTAATTTCAATTCAATCTTTTAGAAACAACTCTAGCTATGATTGTTTTCTAATACATCCATACATATATAAAATATATGTTAGAAAACTTGGGGATTGTTCTTCAATATATAATATATGGTTTTATTTTTCAAAACAAAAAACAAAATCATGCATTATTGTCAAACACCCCCTTAGATTAAGCCACTTGAATACTAGAGAAAATTTACTTCAAATCAATACTGTAACAAACTTTGTCTAGAGGTGATAAGATAACTTATTTCAAGGACAATTGAGACACTGTATGTTTCAACCAATAAAATGTATTTTAACATTGTTTCATGATAGTCAAGCTTTACTTGGATTGTTTTGGGTATTTGAAGCAGTGATGGGGATGTTCTCCAACATGAATACTTTTTTATTTTATTTTTAATTCTTCTAGAAAAATGGCACACCAGTGAAAAGAAAGATAAAAACATGTTCTTGATGTCTGTTTTCTTAAAACAAAGTGATTATTTCTAGTTTGATCCAGAAAAACAACTATTTTCTCAAAATCAACAAAGTGTTGCTTTCAAAACCAAGACATTTTCATTTCTAAACCAAAACTTCTTACAAGTGCTGCCTTAAAGCTCCTATGGAATATCAGCCCATTTAGAAAAGGGGATAAATAAATTTTAATCCAAATTTATAAAGTCGCCTTTTTTTTTGTAATAAACCAAATCTGATTCAGCTTCCTAACTCAAAAAACAAAAAGATAAGCTTTCTACACATTGGTTTGGGTGACATTCTTTCACTTGATGAAGATCACAAATTACAAATCAAACCTAAGTTTCATAAATCAAATAAAAAAAAACCCAGCCTGTGATCCCCAAACAGTATGGTTTCCATGTACTCATACTCAGTATGGGGGTGGTCATTACCAGTGAAACCACTATAGTTACAGTTTTTTTGAAATCAGAAATTCAATAGAACATTTGTTGCTTCACTTTGTGGGGATAAAAAGAAAAAACACCATAGAATAAGAACATGCGTTCTATGTGTGTTTCGCTTAAAAAAAATAAAATAATATCTGATAAAACCCATTTGTACCCAATTTTCTTGAAATCGCAACAAAGAAAACAATCCATGTTGAACAATGCCTTTCCTCTACATCTTTTCACCACTTTCAACACTAAGGAACCAGACTCGGTTAAAGTATTATATGCATACCTCA